GACTGTATTAAGGCATGTTTAAACAAGAGAGGTTACTCAGCCAGAGCGGCGAAAGCAGTCACACTTGCTTTACGCAATTCGACACCAACTTGTATGACGACAAATGACGACAAATGCAGTTTTGAGACTTACGCTGCAGAAAAAGGATTTACAGCTAGAAATGCTACACATCCTCAAGTGGCAGACTATCTTTGTCACCTACGACAAACCAAACATCTGAAAGGTTCTACACACCCAACATACTTAGCGGCCTTGAGTTCAGTGATAACCATGAGGACGGGTGCAAAATTAACAAAGGTACCAGAGTTACTGGCCTTGCTACGCTCTTATAAATTGGAGGATCAGAAACAGGGGTTCACGCTCCGGCATGGGACCTCAACATTGATCTCAAACATCTCACTAGTGACGTTTACGAACCACTGGAAACGACATCAATCGAATTTCTGACACAGAAAACACTTTTCCTGTTAGCCCTAGCAACAGCAGCCAGGATGTCGGAAATTCATGCTCTAGATTACGAGAGAACAAGATTTGATGAAAATCAAAACATAGTGCACATGGGACTACGATGGGATTTCATCGCCAAAAATCAACTGCCAGGTCAACCGGACAGACAATTCCACGAACCTGCACTATCCTCCATACTCGGACCACCCGATACGCTTGACCTATCCTTGTGTCCAGTGAGAGCACTAAGCACAGCGACACAGACGGAAGTCTCCCGTACTACAATATCAATCTGGATAAGAACTGTCATACTACAAGCCTACAAGGCTGCAGGACTCGATCCTCCAAGAGCCTCTAACCCTCACGAAATTAGAGCACTGGCATCAACACTCGCTCTACATGGGAATTGCTCGCTGAATACGATCATGGAGGGCTGTTTCTGGAAATCGGACATGGTGTTTGCTAACCACTACCTGAGAGATATCGCCACCGAGGACGTCTCAGGCATTCACCATTTCGGCCCTCTGGTTGTCGCACAGCAGTTGACAGTTCCCCACAGAAGGTGAGACGTTGTCTCGTCGTGTTTCTCATGACTGATCAAGCCTACACTCTACAGAGTTTTGCTTCAGTATCTATGCACGTTTCAGAACTAGCATAAAGTGTTAAACCCAGTACTTGCAGTTACTAGTACTATGGGTTGATTTTCCATTTTGGAATCATTCTATCCACATTTAAATGTTAACCAATATAGGACCAAAAGTTAACTATTGTGGTCCCCCCATTAATTGGCAGCTGAAAAAACTCGTTTGTCTACAGCAGCAGAAATTAGCATAATTACAGTGCCATTATGAAGTTCCCGTAGGGGGGTTTATATTGACGTAAATTCACTTATTAAAATCGTAAGTGCCTTTTTTCCCACCTCCTGATTCCGTCGGATTCTACAAGCAAATAAGCATGAGTCAGGATAAGGAAAAATATGTAATTGTTTTAATAAAATTGATATTTTATACTTATCCTAACTCATGAGGTAAGCCCTCCCAACCTCCCCACAAGACACTTTGGATTTCCCTGTAAGTTCAATTGTCAGGCTCGTATTCAGGAGAGAGTGAAGCATGTGGGAAACAGTGGCGCCAGTTTCCCACGTAAAGGGAAGGAGGGACAACTCTTGGTGAGTAGTGATTAGTGATTTTATGCACGTTTTTATTAAAGGGAGCTTCAATAAGGAGATACAAGTGTTCCACTAAGTTCGCAAAGAAGAAGAAGACAAGCAAATAAGCATGAGTCAGGATAAGTATAAAATATCAATTTTATTAAAAAAATTACATATCTCTATTTCGATTCGATATTTGAGTGTTGTTCTGTGTTTAAACATCATATTTTATTTGTTTGAAAAATGTTACATCATTTACATTCCTGACTTCGTAGTCAAATCTTGGAAAAAGTTAAATGAAATCTGATGTTTTTACTTGTATGAAGAATTGAATCCGAAATGATTAAATCGAGGGTCCAATATCAAAAATCAAATCGAATCAAGGTCTGGGTGAGTCATTGCAGCCCTAACTGTATCCCAGTTGTGCAGATCGATGCTCATGATGTAAATCAGTGGATTGTCTGGCCCAGGCTTGATTATTTTAAAACAGGCCGATGCCATATAGCTGGAATATTGCTGAGTGTGGCGTTAGACAACAAAGAAACAAAAACAAAGAAAACAAGTACTATGCAGTCTCATTCTAATGATAAGTCGAAAGAGTCACAATGTCCAGACATTTAACTTTACGTTATGTAAAAATATCATAACCCATGTCTTATTCATTGCAAAGAAGAATCATCAAGGCATGACAAGTAACCTCCATTTAGATTTACCATTTTACCTTTATCACCTCAAAAGAAAAGGTATTTCTCTGTAAAAGATAAGTGCATCATGATTTAACACTTAATGGTAATAGTCTTAGAAATAATTTGCTGTATGATGGAACTTCTGGCAATTCAATTTATGCACAGTCATCACTTTACAGGGAGGGACAAGCAAAATTTCTATAATTGACAATCAAAGATGAAAATGCTTCTATACATCTGTGTTATGTTCAAATGTAAAGAACCCGTGAAGGTCCGGGTTAGAATGAACCTTCAGTAACCCATGCTTGTGGTAAGAGGTGACTAACGGGTGGTCAGCCAGGTGATCAATAAGCATGTGCAGTGAAATTTCAATTTCACACGTACAACTCGCACGCCTGGCTGTTCTATCAGCAAGTGGTCCTCCCTTGTAAGAAATATTGAAAAGTGACAACAAAATAATGACCATTTGTTAAACAACTTGGTTATTCCGGTGTCCAAAATTATGAGACAAATCATCATAGTTGGTCTGTCGATTTCACGTGACTGTGCAAAGTTTGATTTTGTTGCATTTATTAGATTTTGTGTTAGTGAGTAATTCATCGGTCTCAAATGAAGTCAAACGGACTATAACGGTTTGCTTTGAAATTGGGTGGAAATATTTATCATTGTTGTGGACCTGTTGTGGACTGGCAGATGGTACTGATGGGCAGATAACATTCCCAGCTTGATGGTGGTGTTGGAGGTTGGTCTGTCACAAGTGTAGACAGGTGGCCAGTGTGGTGGTCTTCCACTGACCTTCCATCACATCAGGATGTGTACCAGTAGTACATGTACCAACTCCTATTGGCTGGGTCGAAGGAGGTAATATAAATCCTTGTAAATATAAACAAATGACTAAATAAGCATTTCCAAAGTTAAGAGAGAATTTTGAGTGTGCTTATTCAAGAGTGAAGTTGGTTTCACCTTCTAGACACATGCAATAATTCTCATTTGGTATATTTGATTGTATGCAGGTATTGGAGGGACGAGGTAATAAAACCCCTTTGATTCGGATCATGTCTTGTGAACAATTTGTATAAATGCTTCACACATGGCTGGAAATACTTCTAATTTGGTTGGGCCGTGGGGTAGCTTAGTGGTTAAAGCGTTGGCTCGTCACGCCGAAGACCCGGGTTCGAATCCCCACATGGGTATATTGTGTGAAGCCCATTTCTGGTGTCCCCCGCCGTGATTTTGCTGGAATATTGCTAAAAGCGGCGTAAAACCAAACTCAGTCAGTCAGTCTAATTTGGTTGTATCTGCAGAATCAGATTTTTACACGATACTTTACAAGGGTGTGTGTAGGACTTAAGTTCATTGTATCAAGATACCCTTTATTTTGTTCTTTGAAACAATCTGGTCTCATACGTTTGTTCTTGTTCCCATATATAGTCATTCATTCTCTTAGTTATGATCATATTTATCTTACCAAGTGTTTTGTGCTTCATTAAGATGAGAGAATCATGTTTAAGTCCTTATTTCAGAAGTGAATCTCATTTACTTCACTTTCATGTGTGTATTCATTTTGACTGTATGGACCATAGGTAAACACTCCGTTGTAGCTTCCACTGTATCACAGATAACATGATAACATAAGATATGTTTGACTCCTTTGGGACTGAGGGGGCAGTGGGGTAGGCTAGTGGTTAAAGCCCAGGTTCAATTCCTCACATGGGTACACTGTGTGAAGCCCATTTCTGGTGTCTTTTTCTGTGATATTGCTATTGATCTTCAGTAACCCCATTCTCTTCCCACAGAGGTTACTCCTGTCATATTTTCCTACGTAACCTCTGTTCTAATACGGCCATATTTCCCGGTTCTCGTAAAATCCCCTAGCGGCAAAAGATCGCAACACGAATTATCTCCCTTCTTTCTATCCAATCAGAACACCTGTTACATCGACTTAGATTCAACTTGACTAACACAAGCAAATGTGGGGCCACAAATATCCCCCATCTGCCGGGGACTTGTGTTGATGTTACACACAAGACGTTTACTGGCTAGCTTGTCCGTTGTCAACGAGGGCGATGGAGACGCCACTGATCCGCCATAACATAACTGAGTTCTGTCTAGAAGAAACGTTTGCGCATCGCGCAGGGGAAGAAGTTTAGTTTTCTCGAAGCATACGGAAATTACCGAGGCCTTGCGAATGATCACTTTTGAAACAACGTCGCTGATTGCACAACTAAATCTGATTGTCTCCAATCACGAGTCTTGAACGCTCACACCATGAAAGGGCCGTATTAGAACAGAGGTTACGTAGGAAAATATGACAGGAGTAACCTCTGTGGGAAGAGAATGCAGTAACCCATGCTTGTTATAAGAGGCGACTAACAGGATCGGGTGGTCAGGCTCGCTGACACATATCATCATATTCCAATTGATTGATATCCTGTACATCGATGCTCATGCTGTTGATCACTGGATGTCTGGTCCAGACTTGATTATTTACAGACAGCCGCCATATAGCTGGAATATTGCTTAGTGTGGCATATAACTAACCTCACTCACTCACTTATTTGATCAGTAGAAAAAAATCTGCTCCCATATGTTAACATAGCCTTGAGACAGTCTTACTGCTAAGATCGCTTTGTGCAAGTGGGCCCCGGTTAGCAAAGTGGGACTCATCTCAACCCAAATTTCCTGCACATATATGGTTTTCTTTCTATTTTTTCCAGGTGATGAAACTGAAATGACATGGAAATGTCACATCATGGACCAAACCTTGACAACTACCTCGCATAACTGAGTCAGATGCTACAACTCTGTGAGAAGTCATCCAAAGGCAAACAAGACAACTGTTCACCCATAACATGGTGACTTTGTTTCTTTGATGTAGTTACTGTGAGACAGTCTGATAGGAGAGAGTCCTCAATGAAACATGCATCATATCAAACAGTTACCTCAATGTGAACATCATATGCACATCAGCATGAAACAGTTGATTCCCAAGGTTTGAGAAGCAGACGTGTAGCTCCTGAACAGACATCAACATGATGGAGGCAACTGACAACCCGTCTGGGGGATCCGGCAGGAGAACTGCCTCCCTCACCGTCACACAGATCCTGCTGCTAAATTCCGTGGTGTGTGGAGTTGAGATCTGTGCCTGTGCAGGCTTCACATATATCCCACCGATGCTGCTCAAGGTGGGCTACTCAGAAGAGACCATGAGCTTCATCTTAGGTCTAGGTCCTCTCCTAGGATTTGTCATTGTGCCCGTCCTGGGACGAGCCTCTGATCACTGCCACAGCTTTTACGGTCGTCGTCGCCCTTTCATCTTTGCCTTGTCAATGCTGTTACTTGTGTCATTATATATGATTCCATTTGGTGAGTACTTCATGACAGTGATATTTGGCTACTCTCACCTGAGTAAGGTATTGGGAATGTGGTGTCTGACTCTGGGCTCGGTGCTGCTGGACTTCACTAGCCAGGCCTGCCTGACGCCCTGCGAGGCCCTACTCAACGATGCTTCCATGGACACAGGGCAACATGAACGTGTGTTCTCCATCTACTCCTCTATGGTGTCCCTAGGAGGTGTCTTTGGTTACCTACTCACAGCAATAGATTGGAAGTCTAATTCCCTAGGCGTCTACTTTGGCTCGCAGGAGGCCTCCATATTCTCAATACTAATTGTTGTGTTCACTATATTATTAGCAGCCACTCTTATAGTCGCTGAGGAGAGACCATTGTCATCCCTGGGTCGGCAGAACTCATTGTCAGACATGGAAGGAAGTTTTGGGAATTCTAAAGCTCAAGAATCTGGCTACAGCAGTTCCTCCTCAGAAGACGTCCCGTCTAGTATTTTATCAAATCATAAGGCCAACTTACAGACTTCTAGTCCACTGCGGTCTGAATGGAGAAGCAGAGCATCACAAACCAGATCAAAATTGCGTTCTGTGATTTTTGGATTTTTTACTCGTGGTCGCTTCTTGTCAAGCGTTTGTGACTGTTTTAGACTGGTTTCCTGTGGGATATTTTCTCTGTTGCCACAACAACTGAAACAGGTATTTGACGTTCCAATTGTCCTGAGATACCTCACGATAGCCCATTTCTGTTCTTGGACAGCTCTTATGGGCTTCAACCTGTATTTTACCGACTTTGTAGGACAGGCAGTATACAACGGCAACCCAAATGCCCCTGAAGGCTCCCCCAATGAGAACCTGTACGATGAAGGAGTGAGAATGGGCAGCTGGGGGTTGTTGCTGCATTGTATTACATCAGCATCTTACGCATTTTTCATCGAGAAACTGGTAGACAAGTATGGATCTCAGCTGACTTATCTAGTAGGAATGTCATCCTTCTGTTTTGCCATGATGGGGATGGTGCTCTTCAGGAATGTGTACATTGTGAACATTATGGCTGCCTTTACAGGATTTGCATATGCCACAGTCACAACTATTCCTTTTATTTTAGTGTCAAAGTATCACATCGATAAAGAGGTAAGAGTCCAATCCAGAAAGAAATATCTCATCTTTAACTGACTGTAACTTCTCCTTTATAACTGATGACAGGTAGGGCATATTTTATGGGTGGAAATCCCATATCAGGATCCTGTACAGATCATTTAGTTTAAAGAACCTAATACTTTTGAACTTGTAATTTAGGATAGTGCTGTATTCTGATCCACCCAAAAAATCTTTCAAGCTTTTCATTAGGGCTGCAACGATTCACCCAGACCTCGATTTGATCATTTTCGGTTCGATTCTTCATACAAGTAGAAACATCAGATTGCATTTAACTCTGAGTTTATTAAACTAAACATATCACACTGAAAACTTTTCCCAAAATTTGACTAGGAAATCAGGAATGTAAATGATGTACCCCGGTAACCTTTTTCAAACAAATACAATAGGATGTTTAAACACAGAACAGCTCTTAAATATCGAATCGAAATAGTAATAATGATTTTCAGTGACTCGAAACCGAATTGTTGCAGCCCTTCTTTTCATGTCAGATGATTGAGTATAATGTCTTCAGATATTTATTACGTAAATGATATGTGTAAGTCATGTCAAGCATAGCTCCACCCTGTATCTGTACTAGTATTCATTGATGTCTATATTTTGGTTGGAAAATGTACGGAGAACATCCTAAACTTTGTATAAATTGAAGTGGAAATAAATATATATACAAACCAAATTTTAAAATGATCCTGTACAGGTCCCCAGATTTCTGGATGTATTCTTGTGAATGACCCCAGATAAACAAAAAAATGCGTTTTTCACATTCTGCTATTGTGGCCTGATATTTCTGGTACCTGTTAATCACTTTCATTGTTTGAAAGTTTGAAAGCTCTGCCCCAACAGCTAAAAGTAACTTCATGAATATGTTTGTTTAGACAATATGTTTGTTAGAGTTGTCAGTTTAACAGTAAACATTTTATGCATGCTGACCATAGCTTGATGTGAAAGTGTGTATGATATTTGTCATAACTGCACCAACACTGTTTCAGATTTACTTCTTTGATGTCATGTCCAGTAACGGTCAGTCTTTGTCTGCACGAGGAATAGCCACGGACATGGCTGTGCTGGACTCTGCCTACTTCCTTTCCCAGGTGGTGCTGGCCACTGCCATGGGCTACATCGTCCACATCACCGGCACTGTCTACGCCTACATGGTGTGCGCTGGCGTCATGGGACTCCTGGCTTGTTTCTTTATACAAAAAGTCATCATATCTAAGTCTGACGTGCGAGCCCTACAGATGGGGGAGAGGCAACACAGTATCTTCAGCTGACCTGAAGCCCATTATTATACTTGGTAGACATTTTAACAATATAGTGGCATGTTATATGTACAACTGTATATCAGACATGGGACAGAAAACAATGTCTATTACTATTCCAAAATAGGTAGATTCTTTGTTCTTTGTCAACAGGGTTCGTCTACTCTTGACTGTCTTGTACACCCTGGGAATATATACTCATGGGAAATAATAACACAACCAAAGATTTTTGTTAGCGAAATATGTCACTGATGTATCTAGTACGTATTAATTATACTGTCTAATGGTATTTTGTCTTTGGGGTACAACGAAATAACATACAAGTTATGAATAATCTTTAAAGCAGTTTCCTAGTTTTAATTCTTAGTGTTGTCATGGAAACTAATATTTTTTATTCCACACTGAATTTCTTTTATTTAATAGGTTTCTCTTTGGGGCCTACTTAAACCTGAAATATATGTTATATCAACCTGCTGTGCAGAGTTACTTCCCTTAGTTGTGCCAGGAGTGAGGTTTGAATCCCAGATGTCTGGTCTGTTTCCTGGTTTGTCAGCATTATATGTGGTTAATGTTTATGTCCGCGTCCAGATATATATGGTACAGCTGTCTTTACTATGTTATACTGACATGAGGGTACACTGCTAATAATATTCAGCATGGGAAAAGGAAGCATAAATATAGTTTTTGTATTAGATAAATTGTATATATATGATTATTTGACCAATGGGGATATAGGAACTGTGTTAGTGATATTGTATTGTCTGTATGTTTGTATAATGGCGGGATAAATGGAGATTAACCTTGTGTGAGTTAATGTACTGCAGATAGATAAACTTGCATCGTCTTTGTGTTCATGCATTTTATGCATCCAGTATTTTTACCCATCAGAAGCTCTATCATGCAGCATGTGTATTCATGCATGAGAAGTATTCATATCCATCGGAGAAGCTATCTTGCGGCAGATGTAACTTTATGCATCTTTTTTAGTTTCGTATGCGATATTGTGCATATGAGGACATCAGAATGATGATACATCTAAGTCCAATGCATAATACTGTTTGTTGATACCTAATTGCATTTTTTATCATTTTGTGAAAGGATATGTCAACCTTCCACAGCAATACTTACTTCAAATTTAACTGAACTTAACTGAAGGCCAAACCACTTTTATTTCTCGTTTTACAGATCCGTCGGTCATATTTTTTTCAAGAATAAGAAAAATAATAATAATTAATTTTCCCTGCTCAAACAATAAGATCCTAACGTTAATGTAATATAAGTGAAATACCCTTGAAATCGGTAAGAAACTTAAATTCACTCAACTTACTTTTGATATAAACAAACCAAAAGTATTAACATGGAAACTCATGTGGATTTTTGCTTTGACTGGTGATATTTTTTAAATAATTTTTCCCTCCTGCCTTTAGGTTTTCTGTGGACAAAAATCCGTAAAACAAGAAATAAAATTGGTCTGACCTTAACATCATGTTTGTATCAATACTGAAAGTGCTGGGATGATGAAGGAGACAACAATATTTTAGTGAATCTGTTAACGCAGCAAAAGTAAAGTGGAGGCCCTCTATTTTGTTCGCAGTTTAGGTTGATGTACGAAATTGTTGAGAAACTCCCCAAACCTCAGACATGTTGGCAATATACTTACATACGTACTGTGGCCACAGTGCCACACATAACAGCTGTAATATGGTCTGTCTCAATTAGGTTTGTAACAGCTGACTAAATACATCCCAGCTTACCATCAATAGTTGACACTGACACCCAACTTCAGCATCTCCTCTACCATAAATAGTCATAATGAAATTAAAATAACAGTCATCAAATTTTCCCTATAGTTGTGACCTAAAATCCAATTGGCTTGAAGATGTACTTCTTCATCCAGAACTGGTTCAGGGACCCTATCCACAAAGCAGTCCTAGCACTACGCCATTCATAAGCCAGAGCTAAAGTTTTGAGTTATGATGGGTCGTACACTTTTTGGATCAGGACCGAGGAATATATAGAGGCAATTCTCTCTACCTCTCTCAACTGCCAACTACTGTGCTGAATCAGGGATGTGGCAGGTTGTTTAGCTTTGTCCTCATCTCAAATAATGCAAGCAAGCGTAAACAGGATGGTCACCAGTCCTTAACTTGTCCTTGGTCATCCCTGCTCGTCACACACTCCCTGACAACACATCAATCAGAGCCTGTGACCTCCGTGTTCATCTCCCACAGGCTGCTGCTGCTGCTGCTGCTGATACTACACAATATATTTGTATAAACAGAGGAGTTTCTATTTTTCTTATGTATTTTGTTGTCTTTTGTGATGTGTTATGAAGTTCATTATTATATTTTGGATATATTATACATATACATGCATGTTAAATATTGTTAATGTGTTCACTGACTGTGTTGATGGATAGTGTTAAAGTGTACAGCAGGAATAGCAAGTCGTGTGACCTCCCATCCTGACCTCCTCCTGTGGTGACATCCCTCACAGTCCCAGCTGGGCTAGGTACTGCAGCTCACTGCATACATTCAGCAGTAGAAACAACCCTTAGCACAAATGATAATAACGTATAAGGGACCGTTCATAATTTATGGCTAGGGGGAGTGATGATGATTTTAAGGGGGGTGATGATGATTTTAGGGGGGTGTCACCCATTTTGATTTGGGAGCTAGGGTGGTCAGCAATTTTGTACATAAAAAATATGTTTAAAATTATGCTTAGAAATTATGGGAAGGGGGAGAGGGGGGTCATTGATTTTGTACGTCGGGGGTACTTATTTTGTACGTATATTTTATGTACGTATGTCTAAGAAAAATATAAATTTGTAATTTTGTTACATTTCCAGACCTAAAACTGGAAATACAAAGTCTTTATTAATAATGCGAAACAAAATGGCAATTTCCATTATATATTCCTAGGTATCTTTGAACTGTTCACAAATACTTCATCACTCCTTCAGTGAAGTCCATTTCTGGTGTCCCCTGCCATGATATTGCTGGAATATTGCTAACAGCGGCGTAAAACTAAACTCAGTCAGTCAGTCATCACTATCTCACATCTTCATGTCTTTCTGTGCACAGGAATGGTCACGAAGCCTACATAGTGAAATGGCATCAAAAGCAGCCAAAAAAATCCATTTGAGGTTTACCTACGTCCCCAGTGAGATGGTTTCGCAATTATCTATGATACAGAATGGCAGAGTAAAGATGTTTCTCAACAATTTGCCTCCAGATTGAAATCTTAAACACACATACATACACATGCAGAAACTCCATACCACTTTTGAGATTGGATATTCATGTTTCAGTCCCACTTTGCACAGTTGGTGGTGGCAGGTTGAGCAGTGGTAGTCCAGGTACAGACACTTTGTTAATGTCGCCATTTGATTACCATCATACTTCATTATGATTCTTCAAACTGTCAGCTTATTTCCATGACACTGACCTACTGTGATGTCATTTGTTTTTTCTCTGGAAGTAGAAACTCTTCCTTCATGATATTTATTATGATGATGCTTTTCTATAAACTGTTGATTGAATTTACAATTCATGGGATTCAGTGTCAAGGCGGGTGATGCTGTTTCAATGTCCCATGTTCAATGTCCCATGTAAGACTTTTTGTAATAACTTTTTGTTTTTTTGGTTTAAACGTGGATGCATGGCTGGAACAGGAGTGCAGTTTCTTACACATGAATATTTTACATTGACTTATGAGGAAAACACAGGACCCAGACATAGGATAAATATAAACATTTCACCACCCCACCCGGTGACCCCTCCCCACCCCAACACTTCAAGGTAAACATGAGACTCAACTCATCATGCGGAATAGATTCAACATTTAAGGCTTCTTTTTGTGTTTATTGTTAGCCATTTATGGTAAGAAGCTGTTCGATCTGCAATGTCAATATTGTCATGTGTTCAGGGTATTGGTTTCGTCAACAGTGTCCACCAGGTGCATCATTTAGAGGCGGTGTTCATCGTCTGTGCAGTGTGTGGAAGTGATATAGACCAATGAAGCTTTCATCCTTTTATTGATTTTGTTAACCATGACAACGATTTGTCACAGATGATCTTTCTAAAAAGTCTAAGTCAGTGTCAAGACAATCTCTGCTGTCCCCTGAGTTTATTTCTAGACAAAAGCTGTTTGTTAATTCATGTTAATGTTCTATGGGACAGTGATTATTCTGTTTAAGAAATACAGTTCGTTCTACCACCATGTATAGTGTGATTAAGCACACTTTCGCTCTGAACTTTTATAGTTAAAGCACGAGGACGCTTGCATCATTGACTAGAATGGCGCAGTGATGCCAGTAGATTGTGACGTAATGCAAAAAGTGTACATTATCGTCTGATAAAGTACTGTCGGCGCCTTTGATCTTTCACCGAAGCATCTTAGAATCAGTATTTTGTTGCAGTGGTACATGTACTGAGTGCAGGGATTAGTTTGATGATCTTGTGTAATGCTGTTTAGTGCTGGACAAAATAATTTATGTTTAAGAATTAAAATGAGCATACAGCCATGTAGTATCACAGTATATTTTGTGATGACTTTTAAAAAGAATGGAGAAAAGTAGTCCCAGGATCTGAGGGGCTGCAACATGCTGTGCAGAGTTACATCCCTTACCTGCCAGGATCTGCTACTCATGGCTTTCTACACTAGTAAGCGGATATCACTGGATCATACTGAATACTGCACCCAACTCACTCATTATGAACATGACATTTATGAATTAAGCATATCATACTAAATCATATCTGATATTGTGATATCAATCACCTTGTTTCATGCTGATTATCCTTGTTCACAGCTGGGTTTTTTCATGCAAACAATAAGCATATTTGTATTGCACCAAATTCCATTCACAGGTGAATGCTCGGAGCGCTACAGTGATAAAACAAGCATAATCTGAACACATTTCATGTAGTAATGCAGCAGTATTTCTGCAGCAGATGTGTTTTGTGTCAAATCTTGACAGATAGAAGGGTTGGGTACAGTTTGTTTCGTAGTTCCTATAGCAGCACCAAAGATCTCAGACCAATGAATTTCAGGGTGGTTGCGTGGATTTTAAACAGAACACAATCTGTGTGGTCAGAACAGAGAGATCTTGAAGATGTATATTATGTAGCACTGGTAAGTGAGGGAGATGATTTTGCACTCTAGTCTTGCCTGAAAGGGAGCCAGTGCGGTTGATTCCGAGTTGATTATTATGCGAGTATTTGCCAGTTGAGGGTAAAGAGCATGCTGCTGTATCTGAAACAGCCTGGAGTTGACTGAGGACATTCTTCAGTTGATAAAAGGCTAGAGCAGTCAACAAGTCACATTTCACCTGATGTCAGGTTGTCGTTGCTGTTGTGTTAAGGCCATTTGTAGGTATGCTCCAGTCACTTTTACGTGGGCTGTGTATGATTTATGCATGACTGAAGATGACGGCTTTTGTGATGAGTTGTCTATAAATAAGTACTCCTTAACATACTCGCTAGAAAGCATGGCAGTAAGATAGGTCACGACAGGACAGATAAAGTCATGTAATAGCACTCAGTACAGTGAACATATTACCATTCTACTCTTACTGCATATATATTCTTTTTTATAACTAATTCATAAATTGGGTTGGAGAAAAACCTAAGTTTCTGAGCAACTCATAATCAAGGCATGTGTCTGTGTCAACACTTATTCTAGTCAAACATTACATGAGTTGATAACACATACCCTGATATGTCTTCTCAACAACAAATCAAATATTATTTTTATTATCTAATATTTTATATATATTTGATTTAAATAGAGGTAGTTGACGGACATGTTCTACTGATGGGCTTCCAGGGCTAAGTTACTCTAAGAAGTCCAGGGCAAAGACTGTGGTAACTCCCATAATATGTCGGGTTCTGTTGTGAAGTACCTGAAAGTAGCCTCCGGGCTGATTCTTTGTCTGCATTCTATACCAGGAAATGAAAAAATAGTCAACTCCACTAAGAAGACATAATCTGATTATATTATCATTACCATTCATAATGATTTCATATCTTACTGTTTTTAGAGATGTGTCAGTAGGATTTCATATTACGCCATCTTGTTTGGAGAATCACTACAATGCCCAAGTGTTATTTTAAGAAAGTAATTCTGTCAACACTCTGGGTAATATTTAGACTTTGTGTAACAGCCTCCACATTTCACATGGTCATTTTTGGGGTTTTAAGCATATTCTATTGTACAAGAGACTTTATAATTTAGTTTTATTGGTATAAAATAAATGATTTGGTCACCTGAACTCACAGTGTATTGTTTTTATTGTATACTGATTGAGTAGATTTATAAATGTTGACCATCACCAGCTGACACCGAACACCTGACACTTCTAGTGCTGGGGTTGCCTTGTGGAACAGTTCATGGTTTCTACATACTCATGGTGACTTTGTATGACGGCACTGGATCTCACCACATAGGATGCTGCTAAACAACTGATACACTGTTCAGAGTAAAACTCAGTGATACTCTTAGATTACTGGAGGAGGTCGGGTAGCCTTGTGGTTAAAGCGTTCGCTCGTCACGCTGAAGAACCGGGTTTGATTCCCCACATGGGTGCAATGTGTGAAGCCCATTTCTGGTGTCTCTGTTTCCCTTCACCCCAACCCTAACCCCCAAACACACACCCCCACCCCCAACCCCCACTCCCATGATATTGCTGGAATATTGCTAAAAGCAGCGTAAAACTCACTCTCTTAGATTACTGCAGGTCAGGCCATCATAAAGTGATTGGTTTCATCTTTACCTGTTTTGTAAATGAACACCCAACCTCATTTTCATCTTCTTGAGCACGGACAAAGAAACTTGCTTTTTATTGCCTTGCTATCAAGTATAGAAATATACCATATCCAAAACAGCCAGTCAACATGCACACAGATCCCTTGAACAGTTTGAGTTGATGGATGTATGCCGTTGACTGAAGTCCAACACTTCCAGTCAACATGCACACAGATCCCTTGAACAGTTTGAGTTGATGGATGTATGCCGTTGACTGAAGTCCAACAGTTTGAGTTGATGGATGTATGCCGTTGACTTCCAGTCAACATGCACACAGATCCCTTGAACAGTTTGAGTTGATGGATGTATGCCGTTGACTGAAGTCCAACACTTCCAGTTGCACACAGATCAGTTTGAGTTGATGGAACATGCACACAGATCCCTTGAACAGTTTGAGTTGATGGATGTATGCCGTTGACTGAAGTCCAACACTTCCAGTCAACATGCACACAGATCCCTTGAACAGTTTGAGTTGATGGATGTATGCCGTTGACTGAAGTCCAACACTTCCAGTCAACATGCACACAGATCCCTTTGAAGTCAGTTGATGGATGTATGCCGTTGACTGAAGTCCAACACTTCCAGTCAACATGCACACAGATCCCTTGAACAGTTTGAGTTGATGGATGTATGCCGTTGACTGAAGTCCAACACTTCCAGTCAACATGCACACAGATCCCTTGAACAGTTTGAGTTGATGGATGTAAGTCCGTTCCCTTGAACAGTTTGAGTTGATGGATGTATGCCGTTGAC